CATCACTCGTCTTAGGGTACACAGACGACAACTGTTCACGACACACCACCTGGCTACCAGACTACCAGAGGAATGTAGAGCCCCGACTCCGAAGCCTCGCGTCTGAGACGCTCCTGGTTTCCCCAGCTGGCACCAATGGTGATGTGTGCGCCATGACTAAGTCTTCTTTGTACGAACTGTGAACTGAGTATATGCTTATCGATATCTACTTAATGTACATACCACGAGTATTGGTTGAGTATTTATAAAAGGTCTATTTGTGTGTGAGACCAAGAACATGTGCTTGTCCTCCTGATTTCTTTTGAACCTGCTACGGTGGATTCACTACACTGTGAGAAAGTACTACCGTAATTACTCGAATCTAACGCGCACCTTTTTTTGGTTAAGCGAGTTCATAAATCGCATGCACGTTAGAATCGAGTACGAAAAAAAAAAATGAATACAGCCATTCTATTGCCATCGGCATTTCCAAAATGGCCGCCCCCTACGTGCGTCGGCATGGCGCGTCGGCCATTGCTGCCCATGCGTTTCCCATGCGCAGCACTTCATACGTGTGCTGAGGAGTTCGTCATCTTGTAGAGCATTAGCATCGACGGCATGGAAGGGCCGAGTCCGAAAACTCGACGAGTGCACCACGATGCCGCTTTTAAAAGAAAAGTCATTGCGTGTGCCGAAACGAATGGAAATCGGGCCGTATCGCGATCGTTCGGAGTTCCCAAACGTGGGTGCGGGACTGGCGGAAACAAAAGCAGAATATTGTCGACAGCAAACATTCACGCAAAGGCTTCAGTGGACCATGGCAGGGTCGATTTCCGCAAATTGAAGAGCTGCTCGGCGAGTATATGATTGAGCAGTGAGCGGCCCAGGACGACAGAACTGCTCCAAGTGCAGGCTATGCAGTTAGCCTTAGAAAAAGGGCTAATGCGGAGCCGGTTTAAAGGGAGCAAGTGCTGGCTAACTAACTTTATGAAGAGAAAAGGCTTTTCCCTCCGAAGGGGAACGGGCATATGCCAAAAGTTGCCGGAGGAGTACGAAGAAAAGCTTCACAGTTTTCAAAGGTTCGTCCTAAACTTGCGGCACAACAACGGCTACCTGCTTGGGCAAATCGGGAATGCCGATCAGACGGCTCTTTACTTCGACATGCCTGGCACCACATTGTCGAGAAGAAGGGGGCGAAGCTAGTTCGCAAGCTGACATCGGGCCACGGTAAAACTAGAGTGACGGTAATGCTCCGTTGCAGGTCAGATAGGCCCAAGCCTCCCATATTTAAATGGAAGACGCTCGCGAAAGGAGTCGTTTTCCCGAGTGGTGTGATCGTGCGGGCCAACGAGAAAAATGGGTGCGCGTTGCAATCGATATCTTACTTTTTTTTTTCATCGTTGAAACCGGGTGCGCGTTACAATCGAGGGCACGGTAGAATCGAGTAAATACGGTATCCCTGAAAGTGATTGACTGAGAACGTGACGGTATGGTCTATAAGCAGATACAACTTAAAAAAGCAAGACAGCAGCAAGCCCCTCAGGATGACCAAAATGGATCAGCCAACTGTCTCCACCACTAAAGAAATTGTCTAGCTCATTTATTTGACAATGCTTTCCGACAGCAAAGTCACTGACCATGTGGCTTATGACGCCAACCTAGGAAGCACACTCAATGGTGCATGTTTGTGAGCATTTGCCTTTAAGATGGAAGTGTTGCTGCCTTCTAAAGTTTACCTGACTAAACACAGCTTCTATATTTTAGGACTCCTCTTCATCATCATCATCTTGTTGGTCTGCTACAGGACGAAGGGTTCTTCTTTAGTGAATCTCAGACCATATCACTTCTGCAGCATCCAACTCTGTCCCACATTTGGAAACTCTGCAACTGCATTGACCTACCTGATCCTCCCCTATCGACGGTGCCTTCCCTGGCTTCATTCGACTGCCATTTCAAAGACCAACAGATTCGCTCAACACGATGCATCTCAAGCAGCTTGATTCCATTTCTTCCTTTTATTCATAATTAAAATGTTGTGCACCCACATGTGCTGTCTAATGCATACTTTTGTCTTCAGTCCCAGTATGTTAAACTGCTGATTAAATGTCGGCTAATACTTCAAAAAGCAATCTTACATACAGACTGAGCTCATTAGAAACTCAATAGTTCTTGACGTTTTACATGTCAAAACCGCAATATGATTATGAGGCAGGCCGTAGTTGAAATTCCAAACATTTGATGTTCTTCAATGTGCACTGACATGGCACGGTATGCGAGCCCTTAGCACTTCATCTCCATGGAAACTTCAATGGCATGTTGACATGTTCAAGGCAACACACCACTGCTGGTGAAGCACAGAGTGCGCATCGAAAACCAAATAAGTATTTCAAGCTTCTAACAACGCAGTTGGCTAATTAAGGGCTACATTACAATAGTATTGATGAAATAGTGGTGATGATCATCCAAACAAGTGCACGCAATGGGCACATCATGGAATTAGCAGTCTCAATCGAAAATTCCCCATCCACCACTGCACACACATGTTACTCAACTTCCACTGCAGTCAATCGAGCACATTGTTTCGATGCTTTGTCTTTTTGGCTCTGTACTGCGTGTCTCTGAACATCTTGGCCTCTATGCACTAGCAGCACATACATAGTGACTCAAAAATAGTGGCAGTGCTTTTTCGCTCTAGTGTTGCACATACTCTGCGCCTTTCACAGCTGTTGGCCTGGTGCCAGGAACGGTGCTATAGAGCCATGCGACTGAGCTAAGTTCCTCGCAAGAGCTACACTTTTGCACTCCTTTACCTAGTTATCGTTTTGAGACCATATAAATGGCTTGCAATGATGTCACATTAGCCAGCATGTTGGAGGACCAGCAATGTCGGGATGCTACGTCTGTTGTGGTCAGGTGCGAGGGTTATGTTGCATTTTCTTGCACTTATGCCAGCAGTGTTCCCAGTGCATCTCGATAAAATTGAAACAGGTTGCTTGTGCCACTAAATACGATACATCATCCTATAGCTACAATGTTGACACACCAGTATGCTGGACACTTCGTGTCTTTTGTCACCTGCAAGGCATCTATATAAAAGTCAAAATGGATAAAAACAAGCAGGAAATACAATGCACAGTGAAAATAAATTGATGAGACAGGCGAGACCTTACAAATGATCAAAAGCATGTTAAAAGGCCAACTTATACCAGCCAGCAACCATCTCGCGCATGTGTGAATAACCATGCATTGCGTAACCCGAAATTTTAGCTGCAGATCACGGCTTTTAGAAAGATCATCACTTTACCAGACAGGTGCAATGGTATGTTGCTGACGAACTGATCAAAGGCAGGGTAGCCACAGAAATGCTCTCACATCTAAAGTGAAGGAGCCCCATGTTATTGTGAATGTTTTTCACTTGATGTCAACAACTACAGCGACAATGTCATCTGTCACTCAGCATGAGGTCCAGGCTTCAACACCTAACTACTATGTCTACATATCGATAAAAGGCACAATGCAAAGGTGCTTGTCTTACCACTATGATACCTTCTTTAGCCTTGTTACCATTATACATAGTCCCATAAATGATTGCACCAATCATTCACTAGATTACAGGTATAAGCATTTGCCACTAACACTTGAGAATGTTAGTAGTGAGGAGAAAAGAGAAGACAAGTGTACCAGTTCACGCGACTGAATCATACACAACTTTAGCGAATGTGTTGCATTATGACTTTCCAGTCGCAAAAGTGCGCCAGTTGGAGGTTGTTGGAACAGCTATAGTGGTTGCTTAAAGAGGCTCTGTAACAAATTTCGCGCATGGCCAGAAAACACTGCCAATTGGTAGTAGAGGCTGAGAACACGTGAGCCAAATATTATTGCACAGCACATGGCTTGCACTTCAAAATATATTCTCAAAGTCGGCTGAAAATTGCTTTCTCTTCTTTCGACAAAAGATGGAAGAAGCTCGCAAATCACTCGTCACAGGCATTCTATCAGCCATTGGCCAATTTGAACATGGTGTGTTCGGTCGTTGCAGGGATCACCACAGGAGCTGCGACTTGCCCATGTGTGTGCGCGTGATAGCACTGAAAAAACCGTGTACTTGAAAAAAGAAAGAAAAAAAAAAGAACTACTTAAGAGTTGCGTGACATATTTTTCTTTGCTCGTGCCACCACTTCCTGCTTAGCTTCCAGCGCTTACGCCGGGATGAGAGAAAAGAGAACACGATTGCAATGCGCGAGAAACCTTTGCAGCTCCGCTCGTACAAAGTGGATTCTAAAAATTTTTAAGCCGGCAAATTCGTGAGACAATAAGCTCTTTTGCTGAATCTTTTGCATGGCTACTTGAAAGAATGTTGCAGGGCCCCTTCAAGTGGCACTCTTAAACCCCCACGGTGCAACTGCCTCTCACTCGAGGTTTCTTGTTGCTTTCAGCAAGTGGTTGCAGCACTGCCATCGAGTAAGCTTACAACATCCAGCACATCACATGCTCGGTGTTTCAAGCTCGGCATTCTCAACATTCTACCTGCTCCTTTGCCAATGTAGCAGTAGGGAGAAGCCGTTTGATATTCATAACGGGATCAGTCACAGTTTATTGAAGGCAAATATTATTTCTACGTGCTTACTTAAGATAGTGTTGAGAAATGATGCAGTGCTTGTTATCGGGCAGTGAGGAGCATTTTAATGCAGTTGCGATGCTAATTACAGGAGCTACAGCCAAGCCCTTTTCTATGCTGGCATCTAAAACAACTGCACGGTCATTGCTCTTGTGCTCCTTCGTCCCCATTTAAGCTTAGATATACGAGCTTCAACGTACTGCTTCCAAGATAATACGGATTACACAACATAAATGGCGCCAACCCTTTACCTCTTGAACAATTAGTGGAGGGCCATCATCCTCCCAGAGTGTGCACCTACAGCCCCAAGCGCATCGGTAACCTTAATCCCCGTTCCAATCTTGTACCTTCGGCAGAATGCGGACAAAAAGAGGTCGAAGATTTATACAGCAGCAGTACTGACCATGGCTTGGAGCTCCTCTTGTTCTTTCTTGCAGCCAGGGTCATTTTCTTGGCCTAGAAAAAACAAGCAACACAAGCACGTCACACCTCATGCGCAGAACGGATTGAGCATTTGGTGCCAAAGAGAAGAGTGCACGCAAATGCACCATTCACTAACAGCTGCACTACACTACTAGCAGATAGACCATGCCGTGCAGTTCGCATGAATGGCAAGGGACCTTGCCACGAGCAACTTTTTTGAACCAGTATGCAGCAAATTTCTTAAATTAAGGGTCGTGGCACAAAGTCATGCCATGGGCCATCTTTGCACAAAAACTTTACCCATGAGCACATTGATTCGCTGGTAAACAAAAATGGAAGCATGGTTAAAATGGGCAGAGAACTACAATTTAGGATGAAACGGGGAAATGTGCAACAGCAAAAAAAAAACAGATGGTTCAAAGAAATTGTGTACTGCTTAGTACTAGGCTAACACCATTTTGAATGTAGCATACTAGGGACTTACGTGAACTATATCTCTCAGCAGGCGGCCTGCCCTTGAAATGAAAATGGCAGACTGATAAGCCCAACGTTACCCTTCGACAGATTGCTGCCTGGTGAAATATTTTGCCGCAGCTTGGCTTTTAACATGGTTGCTTGAGAGTGAAGATAGGAACGTCTTGGCTCGTTAATGATAACTAAAATGCACATACAACTTAAGAAGGCTTTAGGGGCTTTACCCAATGACTGAAGCCTCGCAGCAGATTGGCGCTGCCACCAAAAAGATAATCTACTTGGCTATATTCTTTAATGGTCACGTCGCCAACTGCAGGACTTTCTAGATCAGTCTAAAGCTTGCAGCAAGCTCATTGGTGCAGGCCTTTTGAGGTGGGGCTGCCACTGCCTTCCAAAGTTGTACCCGGCTATAAAATTGAGTAAGGACTCACTTTTACACCACCACTGCTGCTGCTGCTGCTACTAGAGACGAGAGGGGGCTGAGAATCCTGAGCTGTTGCCGTCTCTTGAGGTCCCTTGGTCACGTCGGGTGGAGGAACCGCAACGCGTTTTAGCGCTTCCTGAGCTGCTTCGTCAATCTTGGTTAGGGGTGGCTGCCTCGCGCTCTCCGCCTTGGATGCTTCGCTCGGGGGCGAGAGGGCGCTCTCGGTCTTGGAGACCTCGCTGGGAGCGGGCGACTGCCGACCGCCCACTGAGGAGTCTGGCGTGTGGAGCAACAGCTCTGTGGGAGAGAGAGGCTTGGCCAGGGAGAAAGCGCTGGTCCTACCCAACGCCACGGAGCCTCGTCGGCCGTCTTCAGTCTGCGATGCCGATGATGCAGGGCGTGAAAGTGTTCCTGAAAGGGCAGTGAGCCAAGCGAAAAAACTTGTGAATGACCGTTGAAAGCTTTTAAAAGCTGTGAAGAACAAAAACCAACTGCAAAATGTTCAAATGTATTGGGGATACAGCTGCGCGCTCTTCCAAAAGGTGGAAGAGACATGAAGAACCACATGCAGAAGAGGAAGAAAATGAAGAAGAATCGGGGCTGTTGTCTGGCATGCAAGCACAACATCCCTTGCAAGGCAATGTCAGGTTAAATAAATTGGTAATACGTCTAGTTCTTTCATGCTATTTCTACTATTGTACTAGGTCATAAGATTAACAGGCTTATGCAATGGAATAATTGTGATATGCCTTGCTAACTAGGTAAGGAATCTGCTTTATATATACAGAAATTCAAAGAAGTTTATAGGCCATGACTTTTGGTATCATCCACAAATCTAAAATGAATGCCCCCCGATCTTGCTTGTCTTTAAGATCCCCAATCATGTTGACCAGCTCAAGTTCCCATGGTGGTTGTGGCTCACGGCCACTGACTCTGAATGCAAAACTCAAGTGGTATATTTATCTTGTCTTGTTCACTTAAATGTTGGTAGGAATGATGAATGAATGTACTGCAATAAAAAAATGCCCACATACCTTCGGTTGTCTTGGATACGACAGAGTCAGGCTGCAGTATGCTGGGTTCGGGCGAACCATTGCGGAGGTAGAGCAGCCCGTCTTCCGAAGGCGTACACTTGTCTTCCTGCCCTTCGGCAAGAGGCGTGGGAGCCCGCGGAGGCACCTCTTCGCACGAAGGAGGCACCGGCGGAGGACCTCTCCGTGGCTGGGTCGGAATCGGCGGTGGTGGCAGTGGCGCACTCGAAAAGAGTTCATTCCCCTTGACGGGGCTGGGTACTGCACTGTCTCTGCTAGGAACCGACATGGACTCTGAACCCGCATTTCGCGTGTACGTCTCGCGAAACTCTTCGGGGCTTATCTCTTCACACTTGCGCTGTTGCTGCTGCTGTTGTTGCTGTTGTTTCTGCTTGGACTGAAAGCGGCTCTTCAGGGAAAATTTAAGCAGAAAGCCACTGCGCTTTTTGGCACTGGATGCGCTGGTGGAGGACACATCAGCCGGTGAAGACGTACTTTCGGCTGCAACGGCTTCGGCACCATCGTGCTGTTCCCTCTGCTCTTCGATCTCTTGAACAGGGACCTCTCGAGCAGCAGCTTCCATGGGCGAAACTGCACTCCCTTGCGGTGTGTCAAGGGGGCACCTTTCCGCAATGCTTGTTCCTCGAATAAGGTCAGGCTCAGCAAGGGATGCCTGCTTTTCGGCAATTTTCGTCTTGCTGTCATTTGCATTAGTTTCCAAAACTTCTTCCTTGGGCGCGACCTCGGGCAAGTTTGTGTGCGAACACTCCTGGGACTGCTGGAATTTCACGCTGAGCTTGTATCCACTTGAGCAATCGGGTAGCTCAGCGATGTTCGTCAGAAAAATGGCTCTCGCCCTGCCACCTTCCTTTGAGGCACCAGAGCTCGAAGCTCGTACGCGGCAGTCACCGTTTGCTTGATTCGGCTGTCTCCGCTGCGCCACGTGCAGCACTGCGTTTTCGTTGGATCTAAACGACCCTGAAGAGCTGCCACAACTGTCGTGGTGCAGGTCGTCCTCTGCGTCGCTGCTCGACGGCTCCAGAACTTCGAGAACGGAGCACGTCTGGCCCTCCTGCCTCAGCTCAGGGTTGTTTTCAAACAGCACTTTCAAGCTGACGTTCTCAGGCGCAGATTCGAGTTGTTCACGATAGTCCTTGGCTCGCATCCTGGACGCCCCCTGGCGTATGACGAGCGTGTTCGAACTTCTGTTTTTCTTTGGCTGGGCCTGCTTTTCGCACAGGCCGTCCAAGAAGACCTGCACTTTGTCCCACGAGCAGACCTCTTGCTCCCAGGGCATGAGGTTCGGGACGCGCTTTGTCGTGGCTACTGAGTTGATGACATTGGGCTCGTCCTCGGCACTCTCTTCTTCGCTTTCGTGGGACACTGACGTCCCGGAGGATGAAGCTGGCCTCATTGGCTGCACCTGAGGAGTGCTGCACTTGGCTAGCACTTGTGCAAACTGGGACCTGAAACAAGATAGTGTGCAATATGTCAAACGTTCTGAAAGTGGCACGAAAAACTGATAAGCCTCATCAAGCGTCCAAGACTTTCTCATAAAAACTATGTGACTTGAGTAATCATTTAGAAACAAAATAGAATCTTTTCAAAGAAAAAACAGGAATTCACATACATAGAAGACAACATAGTACGAAAAGCATGAAATTTTTATGATGTGCGCTGTATTTTGCATGGCGTTGTAGTGACATTTAGCCCTTGAGTGTCTGCCATCTTTAGCCATGGTTCACCGCATATGGGCATCGTTGCAATCTTATTTAACAAAAACTAGCATGCAGCAAGCCTGCGGGCACTGTGTGAAGTTTTTTAAAGACATTTTAGATAGCCAGTTTCAAACCGCAGAAGCCCACAAAAGAGTGTCAGCAGGCCACTGCCAGATGTGGCCCGATTGTTGCATACTGGATCACATCACTAAGCATGTTTAATTTGGCTCGTTTGGCAGCTTTGAGGAAGGTGTTACACAATGGGAGTCAAACACGCACTGTAATGGCAGGTGCCATGATATCAGCTTTTTCTATATTTAGTTAAAAAGGCCATTTGTCTAAATAGCTTTGCATGCTTTTTATTTTGGGCATTGATGATTGATTGATTGGTTGGTTGGTTGATTGATTGAATGATTGATTGAATGAGTGATTTAGAGTGGAGTTGTGCCACAGACAAACAAAACTTAAAAACATTAGCCACTTGCCTGATAAGCTCCATAGGGGAGCGTGTTTCGACTGCACCCTTGTTGACTCGCAGGCGCCGCCATTTCTCCTCCAGCTGCAGTAGACGGCTTTCTTCTTCGGGAAGCAGTTTGAGTTGGCTGTTCTCCAGCAGCGCCTGCAGCTTGGCCTGTGCCTGCTTGCTGTCTGGAGACCTGCGACCACAAAAAAAAAAAACAGAGTGCCAGGACTTGTAGAATGCATAACTAAAATAAATCGAAAATGAAGCCCGGGCTCACTATTCCAAACCAGCAACCACGATTACTTCCTTTACTATCGGTTCCACTGAAGTTCAAGCATGTTCCATAAGTCAGCATGGATCGAGAATGGCCTTAAGCGAGGATCAATATTAGGCATGTGCAAATAGTGAATTTTCAATTCGAAGCTAAATGAAAAATTATTATAGTAAGTATTATGAAAAAAAGGCATATTTTCATGACCCAACAAACCCACACAGTATATTTTAAAAATTGAAACGAGGCCTGTGCAAACGCATTATTTTTGGTTCAAAGGAAGTGAAAAGAACTTCGAATAGTAGCAGGATTTCACTTTCGGTAGAATGCAGATCGTAACCTGTAAAATATTTTGTGTTAAAGTTTGCCATACTTGGAGCATATAAACCGGTCTAGCAAGCTTAGAAATGTTTTCTTTGTTTAGGGCCCTTTTACTGCTATAAAACCACTTTTACAGTGAGTTACATACGAACTAACGACCAGCACTTAATAGGCGCTCTCATGGTGAAGCACTCGCCCACTACAGCAAAACCACCTTTACAGGTGCTACCTTCAGATTAATTTGTAGCTTCAGATTAATTTGTAAAACAACTTAGGCGTGGAGCGCCGAGAGAAAGAAACGTTCGCCTCAAACAACTGCTCGTGACCAACTGCATTATTCATAACTATGTACGCATACGCTTCATGTGTACCCTAGCGGCGCATGTCACAATACATCGCTGCCGTATGAGGCGCCTCCTCACAACTAAAACCAAAAAAACAAAACTGAACATCACAGCATATTCATTCGAGTATTCGAAGCATTTGAATATGTGCACAAGCCTAATCAATACGCTTGGCAGGTTTTCTCGCGTATAACCCCAACAAGAAGTGCAGCAGACAAGGAGCTCAACTTATCTACTATTACAGACTTAATAGATCGGCCATTACATTCATCCTGATGAAGAGGTGCATTCGAGTCCTAAGAACTTACCCTGAGAGAGAGTTCCACGGTAACGATGACGCACTGTCAGATTCGGCCCTGTCTGAACTTAAACTGCCCGTGCACACTGCCTGGACGTACTGCAGGGCCTCCTCTTGCCTCCTCATCAATCTCCTCGTCAGCACCAGCAGCTACGTGCAAAGAAACGAAAAGGGTACCTGATCAGCCAACTGGCAAAAACCATGAAGAGCCGCACCCAATGTGCATGTCAAGGACACCAAATAGAAGAAAATTGAGCCGATCTATTGGCATGCTATGTCTCTTTTCATATACAGTTAAACCCACTTATAACGATCCCAGACATAAAGATCTATCGGTTGTAACAACCATATTTTGGTGCACTTAATATTTTCCTATACTACCCTTTGAAACTGAGTCAACATACAGTGAAGATTTTTCAGAGTCTCCTAATTTAACAACGAACACTTCGAACACGATTGCGGTAAAGATATGAAGCACAGGAAGCGAAAACAAAAAAAAAATGTTTAAAAAGGCATTTTGAAGCATGTGACTGGCGCTCGCTCACGCGTACGCCGTTGCAGATTACTTGCGACGAAGATATCGTAGACCATGGTGAGCACCGCATGTAGATTTCAGACGTGAACGAGGTCCCTCACTTTGCAGGCATTCATTGGCAGAACAGGAATGAGGAAAAAAGAACGAAAAAAAATAGGAGGCAGCATGAAGACTTATTATGGTCAGCTTTCGCACCGCAAACTTTCCTGATGCCGTTCTATATGACCGCCGAACATTAACCACGCGTGCCTTCGAACGCAGAAGCGATAACTTTTTGTCGCATAAAAGTTCACTACGACACTCAACTTTTCGACACCATAATGTGCCACAAAACGTTTTCCACCTTTTGGTAACTGCAGATATTGGCCGATTAGTGATTACGACTTCCGCGCGATTGAGGTGGTACCGAATAAGCAACAGAAAAGAGCGATTGCGAGGTGGCCTGTGGCAATGAACGTGCACTGGTGACACATCTGCAAATATCTACTCTGTCGAGTGACGGTTGTACAAGTACGTCGTGCTGCCGTTCGCAAGTTAGCCACCGCTGCGTCGTGCGAGGCCGCTTGCGCATGTTGCTTGCAAAATTAGTCTTCATTGTGTTAAATGAACAGGCTACTTGCCGCACCCAAGCACGATCTCGAGTCAAGCATGCAGGAAGAAGGCACAAACGCGCATATTGGACAGCACAAACGACCCGGCGTGCGACGGCAAGAGCCGTGTAGCGACAGGCTGCACGCAACTAGCCAGGGATGACTGCTTCAACGTGGCGGTACTGCGCATCAGTGGTGAGGCGTGAGTTTATTGTGAACGCAGTTCAATTCACTCGTGAACACATAACAGGTGTCTTTGAACATGCGAGAAGGCCTAACCTGTCAGCGGAGGAGTTGTTAGCACTTTTTAATAAGAATACACAATGAAAAAAGACAGTTTGGCCGCTAAGTGGACGTTTTTATGGGCGAGTGCATATACAACGAACTACTGATATAACAACCACTTATCTCGACACGTTCGAGTTTGTTATAAACGGGTTTTATTATAGATGGCAGCACAAGTAGCAGAAATCACTGCCTTTCTATGAAACACTGTTTTCATATCTACTTTGAAATCTTGTATCCTATGCGTCTTTCTCATTTAAAATACATCACCAGTGCGCTACTAGAAATTACATATATGATGTGCATGTACGGTTGTAGCAGAAAATGCTAATTTAGCTGAAATTCTAAACCCAGACAGGCAAGTCTTTTCAGCTGACCATATGGTACGTTCATAATTCTAGGTAAGCCCTCTAGCCATATCATTTTCTGGGAGAGATTTTGTCAAAACTGATTCTACAATAAGTAGAGCTGTTTAGGAACATTAGTTGAACTTTCTGTGATTCTGTGCTCTTTTTACATTGAACTTCATGGGAGCAGCTTAGTTTCAATACCGCTTTGTGTCTACAGTCGAAACCCGCAATAACGAAAGCCCCGCGAGTACGAAGTCCCCGCGGCAACGAAATAATTCCCGAATCTCCGGCGAACATTCATAGAAGCCCACGTATTATGCATCTCGCAGCAACGAAATGTTTTGCGATCCTGCAGTAACGAATTTTCTACCACAGTGCGGGCCTTATTTTACCCTCCCGCCAAAGATTAACTGTCGAAAATATGCTCGTATGCGTGTTATGCGCACTAAAAATTTGTAAACGTCTGTCTGCTTTTGCCACTGCTAGCGTGGGGTACCGCCATTTTTGTTTACTTAAGGGGGGACACTGCTTAGAGGATCGCGAAAAATGGTAAAAAAAATCAATTTTTTGAAAATCAAGTTTTCAGTTTCTGGAACCTTTTTTCTATCTGATTTCAAAATATCTACACAGAAAACCGTGCAGAAACGCTTCGGAAAATTCATTTCACCCACCTAGGTAGCGAAATCTTTTTCTATAAATCGCGAGAAAACAGTGATTTTCAAAAAATTATGGCTTCGCTAATGGCGGGGACCGGGAGCCGGCTTCTTGGGCTCATCGGAAAGAATATTTGTCCTGTGTTTAACTTTCCCACCTCAGCTGGCTCCACCCTTTAAAAACAAGCACACAGAAAGCAAACGTTCGAAGGTCAATTCGAGGCCCTTGATTGGCTGTGGCCACCATGTTGCCTCAGCTCGCCTCGCCATTGGCCCAATGTTCGCTCCAGGAGATCGTCGTCTGCTGCTTGTACGTCGCGAGGACATGGCTCTCGAAAATCGCTACATCTTGACGTGTTCACGGCTCGATGATCACTTAAGATATCATTACACTTTAGTTAGGAGCAGTAGGCGGATGCACGATCAGGTTACTACGTGCGCGGCGCGTCATCACAGTCGCCTTTAGCCCTCACTTCGCCGACAGCGAGACTGCGGGCAGGAACCATGCGCTAGCGCACTCGTAGCAACATGCTTCGTCGCAAGCAACGAAGCTGTAAGCGGAGGCACGGTCAGATTACTACGAGTGGCCACACCGGATGCACGATCAGATTACTACGAGCGGGCGCACAGTCTACAAGCGCGGCACGTCATCGGAGTCGTCTTTAGCCCTAACTCCGCTGACAGCGAGACTGCGGGCAGGACACTCTTCGCTCTTTTTTTCGGTGCACATGACGACGACATAGCAATGGACCACTTTTTCCAGTGCGAAGGGAGAGCTTTGAAGTTGTTGCATGGCAAGGCTCGGCAGAGTAAGTTGACCGACTCCTGGCAATAAACTTTCGTTCTGCTGGCCGTATCACTGTTTTCATGTCTCATACTCGGGGCAACGAAATTCTCGCGAAAACGAAATTTTTCGGTTTCCCCGGCGATTTCATTATTGCGGGCTTCGACTGTATCAGAAAGTTTAGTGCAACTGTGAAGGTAAACTAGAGAAAATCTGAGCAAGACAACTATGCATTATATTCCTGAACATTACAAGTACAAGTAAGAGTACAAGCAAACCCGATTCAGGCTGTCACTACTAATATAGCTAACTTTAGAATCATAGCATCCTCCTGTAACCAGTTTGCAAACCAAATACCTACCTGACTAATGAACCAACAAACTATAACCAGTCGCAGTCCTACATATTCTATAAGTCATATTCTATTAAGGAAAGTTTACTGAGACATACTGCTTGATATGCTGTACCGTCACATGCAAGTGCAATACCCTTATGCGTGAAACGCTTTACCGAAAGATTGCAATCGGCTGGAGTGGTAAACAGCCCACAAACAAACTTCTGCATTCTTAAAGGGGCCCTGAAACACTTTTTCAAGTAACCATGGAACGAATTCACTGGAAGAGCTTATTGCCTCACGAGTTCAACGCCGCAAACATTTTTAAATTCTGTCTACTGCGAGTGGAGTTACAAAGGTTTGGTGCATGCTGCAATTGCATGCTCTCTTCTCTCGTCCCGACAAAAGCACTGGAAGCTAAGCAGGGAGTGATGGCAGAGCTACAGAAAAACGTCACGCATGCCTCGTCACCTTGAACTCTTTCTTTTCTTTCTTTTTTTTTTTCTTCGAATGCACAGCTTTTTTTAGAGTGATCGGGCGCGCACGCGTGGACAAGCCTTACGCGCCAATCTCTGTAACTAGCGAGTGCATCCGCGTTCAAATCAACCAATGGCTGATAGATGGGCTTACAACGCGTGATTTTGGTGTATATTGCTGTGATTTGTCCAGAGAAGATAAAGCAATTTTCAGCCCCGCTGCTATGGTCTAGTGGCTAACGTACTCGGCTGCGGCAGCTGCATTTCCGATGGAGGTGGAAGTGTTGCAGGCCCATGTGCTCAGATTTGGGAGCACGTTAAAGAACCCCAGATGGTCGAAATTTCCGGAGCCCTCCACTACGGCATCTCTCACAATCATATGATGGTGGTTTTGGAACATTAAACCCCACATAGCAATCAAATAAAATCTGAAAGCAATTTTGAGCTGTCTTTGATAATTTATTGTGAATTCCAGGTCATGTGCTGCGCTATAATATTTGGCTCATACGTTGTTAGGAGCCTCTACTACCGATCGGCAGCATTTTCTGACCATGCTGAAGAAGTGTTGCAGGGGCCCTTTAAAGAAAGAACAGCGAAAGGTAGATTGAATGCACACATGCCGCTCACCTCCTTGAATCCATTCTTCACCTCCGTGTTCTCTGCTTGCAGGCTGCAATTCAGAAAGAGACCTACTATTAGAACTTCAGACAAAACTTAGGGCACATATCAGGCTGCTATTCTTAAAACAACAATAAAATGTTCCGATTCCTGGTGACAAATGTTGGTAGGCAATGATACATTAGCACTTTTGGAGCTGATGTGGAATCAGACATGAATTTAGAAGGAAATAAAACACTTGCATCCGGGATAACTGGGTGTTATCAATTATTGGTGACATAGCTGGCTGGCACAAATTGGATAGCTGACCTTGTTTAATGTCCCAAAATTTCCTGTTTACCTGTAGGTTAACTGCAAGTAGGCTGCAGACTCTACTTGCTCTTAATGCTAGAATTATGTAAGTTCGTGGAAGGAAAATAGTTACTATCCTGACAAAAGAAACTCCCTTGACAAGGATTTTAGCTAGGAGGTTTCCACGTCATAGCTTTCCTACTGATATGAAACCACTTTGGGGAGCCCTGGCATTATAATGATTTATTACTGTGCATGTGGCCTTACGGGCACAAATTATGAAGCGATCCTTTCACAACTGCATAAAGAGAACAAATATTTGCACATGTAAGTAGTCATTGCTAATTGTTGCATTGATGACATTGTACATTGTCACAAACGACTCCAATTTTCGGAGCATCCGCGGGCCCCACCTACCAAGGAAGGGCGCTTTTGTGCTGGGGGACGACATCCGGCGACTATAACGACCCAGCGTGGCGCCGGCTCGTCTTCCTTGCACCGGTACCGGAAGGGGCACCGGCGATCTAAACAAGGAAAATTACTCCCAGATGAGACGGGAGCACGTGTACGCCCCTGAGGCGGTTTGAACTGCATCGGAAAGGCAGTTGACGTACAGCCAGCAACAAGTGCGGTGGTCGGTGTCGCGAGTCTCGCGTAGGCGGCGAGCATGGAGTGACCCGTGCAACGTATTGAGACGGCTGCAATTCCGGGCACCCTCGTCGTCTACCAAGCCGGGGAGACCATCAGCGGCACCCGTCAACTCCCCTACGTGCACCAAGAGCTGGCCTGGTCCGTATGGAACTTTTTATTGTGACTTTTTTTAAACTGTTAAATTATTTTAACCAGCCTTTTTTTTAAATATTTGTAGTGTGCGCTGCGTCGCACGTTTAAATTCAAAAGCGCCACCATGATCATTGTGTAATTATTCCCTTGTATCGCTCTTTTTTGATTTCCATTTTGTCATTATTTTATTAACATTTCGCATATTTATCTTTAGACTGTATCTGTTGTAGTGTTTTTAGCACATTTTGTTATATCGCTGTTGTTTCTATCGCGCGTATCAGTTTTCCTTCTTTGTTATTTTTGTAATCTCCTGCCTTTGCCCCTATTTTAATTAAATGCTTGTTTATGTGTAGTCAAACTCTGTGTCTGCTCTATGAGTGCGTCGGTCAGGCCCACACATCACCACACGTGCAACCCCGCACGGGTCGACCAACCCGCAAATAAATTCGAAATGTGCCACTTCGAGGCCTTTCAGGCGTCGTAGGCCGAAGCGTAAAGTGGAAGCCTGCGAGTCTGCCGCACGTTGATGTTGGATCGGCGGGGCCTCACCCGAAGTGTGTGACATACATTAATAGTAAATTATTCGTTTCTAAGGTTAGAAAGCTGTGCGAAGCCCTTAGGGCGAAGCGTAATTACAGCCATGTAGTACCAATGATGGTCGGCCATGCACCATCGTGACCAATGTGCGAGGGAACACACGAAACAGTCTCAAACCTAAAGCGGGGCAAATCGAGGCGACTGCTCCCGGAAATGAGTTGGAAAGGTTGATGCCATATCATTAAATGTTGACACGCCTGCCTGGCTATTGCTGATGAAAAAACGGCAGCTGATTGCGTATCACGGGCCGATCGCAAATGCAAGGCAGGCATGCCAAGCAGAGAATAGCAGTGTGCTGTCTACAGCTCCATGCAAAAGACAACTTTTTCGTTTGCCTGTGTATGTTCACGCAACACATGAAATCAAGATACAGCAAAGAACGATTTAACCAGAACAACAAAAAAGCGGTACTGCTCTATGCTGCACGCGAGTGCTAAAACAGACAGCGAGATGTCACGCATTCGCTTTTTCTTTATTTCGAGCATTGTTTAAAACAGATAAGTGGTAGCAGTTAACAAAAAAGCGAACTGTTTTACTCCAATTCCACAGTGCCATCCGGGAATAGGTCGATTTGCTGCTTTAGGCTATTCGCCACATGCCCGTGTGTTTTCTATCATACTGCTCCTGATAGTACAACTCATAATGTCCAGCTAACAGAACTGCTCTGCTTGCAGCTCTTCTACACACTAACACCAGAGTTTCTTCCTGTAATTTTAGTATGAGAATATGTTTGGCTTGTTCCATTACCTCGCTGTGACGAAAACGTTGTGGCAGAAAAATGTAACACAAGTTACATAATCTTCAAATAACTAAAAATAGACTGCCCACGATAGGCACCATCAACGCTGCTACAGATATTCAGCGAAGCGCATTAACCACTGCGCCACCAATGCATTGTGTCGTCATTGTAACAGGTGAGAGTGACAAACATTCCTGAGGCTGTGCAAGTGCTTGGGCTGTGCTTGGCGGGCTGTGCCTGGGGGGCAATCGACTAGATGGTGCATGATAAAATGGCACTGCCAGCGCTATGAAGTCATCAGCATATGAAGTTGGTCTTCAACGAACAGCACTTGTCTTTGTTCCCTTCTCTGTCTGTTGTTGGCTCATGCGCTATTTGTTGAAGACGGACCACCAACAAGCCCAGTCTCAAACGCTATTTGAAGTCAAACCACTCGCATCTACATTACCAGGCAAGACAGCAAAGTGTAACCGGAGGTGGCAGTTCGCCTCCCACGAAGTACGCAAACATCTCAACACAGTGAAACTTGTGAAGTGAGTTGTTGCAGAAAAACATTTTTCACCACCAAAAAGGCAGAATGAGAGGCTGCAGTGAGGCAACACTGAATCCATGTTTGGAAACACCCAGCGATGAGTACTGCTCTCATATTTACATATCACGAGAGTTGATAAGTTTCTCGTAGAAAATACTGGTGTGTGTACACCATAGAATCCACATTCCCACCCACACCAGTCTTTGTTAATCGGTACGAGAAAACAGTTCCACAAGTGCAATATTACTAGCCACAAACCCCATATCAACAACATGGCGATGCTGCCCACCTATGAAAGTGTCCTTCCAGCAACACCTGGTCGGCCGAAAGGCCCAGGCAGACTTCCACAGTGAGGAGGTAGTCGGCACAGGACGCCTGACTGTTCTGCAGAGCGACACCGTACGGTCGCAGACCCTGCTCGTTCTGCACTGTGACATCGGCGCTGTGTAGCACCAGTGTCTGCAGCAAAAGAAAAATTACAATGTCGCACAAGTTGACGGTGAAAAAATCACTATAACGACTGAATGTTTGTAGACAATGCTACAACTAGGACAAAGAAAAGAGTGGGGCTAAGCTTCGCACAGAGAGAACAACTGTCAAGTAACATTCAACATCACAATATTGCAATCCATGCATTGTGCATTATTTCTGCATAGCTTCCTGCTTGCAGTTCCGATGCACGGCTGTTAAGCAACCGAGTAATCACCTTAATGACTGGAATGTGTCCGTATCTTGCAGCCAAGTGCATTGCAGTGTTTCCATCGCTGTCCTTCCGGTTAATGTTCCAGCTGATTGTTCTGCATGTACTCGGCCAGCCAACTGACCGTTTTTTCCTGCAACAATAAGAAAATTGCCTGCATTACACTCATTGCCAAAAAAAAAAAAGTTCAGCGAACTGCTTCAAGTTCTTCCCAACTTACAATAGCCAACACAGAACACTTCGTGAACAGAGACATCATTGACTCCAGCAAGCTCAACTAATTTCGTAAAAAGCATAGAATATACGGCTTCTAACCTCACTGAATAACTGAATACATGCATACAGATTATCCTGAAAACAGGCTCCAACACTAGTTTTCCGATGTCAGTGTGCTGCGATGAGTTCTTGCAACCGTCGCTACCATCGGTAAAAAGTTTTCTCAACATTCACATTGCAAACACTGCACAGACATTTTTTGTAGGTGCACATTGAAGGTGCCTCCTGTTCACGTGACCATCCACAAGTCATCTGCTTATGGAATGACCTTGCCACTGCTAATTGCAGCTGAACAGAATAACCCAAATTTAGTGAGCTGCTTCAGAAACATATATCAGAATGGTAAAGTTTTCTTTACTTGACACTTGAGTTGGTGCCCCCTTGTTTCAGCCATCTTTATAACAGTATTTTGTGATCATTGCTATTTACTATCTGTGTGCTTTATCCATTATGTCTGTCCATTCTAACACTTTTTTCTCTGCTCACCTTGAAGTAATCTTTCGTTAAAAAGTGCACAACAGAATACCTCAGAAAGAGTTGAGTATCTCTATCATTTATGTGGGATCAGCACACCAACATCGCAGTACTGTTGAAATCATTAGAATTCTGTGCTGTCACACAGGGAATGGACAAGTGAAGAATAGAGATTAAGACAATGAGGGCAAGAATATAGAGCATGGAATGATTGCTCTGGTTCATAGTTCGTGTTTCAGGGGGCAGTGAGATTCTACTCATAACAAATGTAGAGTTTGAAGTATGGAGTATGCGCATTAGGGCATTTAGTGCAGAGACGAAAAGTCATGTTTAGGTGGCATGGATGGCCTACATCGTGATACATACCTGCCCATACTTAGCAGCCAAGTGCAGAAGAGTTCTGTTTCCTTCACTGGGGTCTATCTGGTCTAGCGCCATAGACTTGCTTACAAGCCACTGGAGTATTTCCAGGTTGCCATGCTATATAACGGAGAAAAAACAAACAAAATGGCATTTAGCGTATTGAGCAATGTTTCGTATGTACACGGTTAGGCAACCTAGATTTAGAAAAATTATTGGCACTACCCCAAGGACACCCTAGCCCTTCCAACATGCCCAGAATACCTACAAGAAAAATGGGAAATGTACATTTATACACACTGCTGCACATACTAGTAGAGAGATATTCATGTGGCCCATCTATGCATTCTATCAGTGTTTCAACACTACCCTGTTTCGACAACTTTGAGTGCCCATCAGGTGCTCTTTCAGGCACAGGCCAGCTACCAAAATCTAGCAGCAAGAATACATTACAACATAACCAGTGCAACTATGGAGGTTTTCGTTAAATTGCTAGTCTTGAGGTGCAGCCAGCAAGCGCATCACACGCTGAAAAGCACTCCCACCAAATTGCAAATCTGCCTGCGTAAAGGAACACCATGGCAAAATATAGTGAGTTCAGTGAAACCCCTCTGTTACGTTTTTCACTGCTGCATTTTCTCGGCTGTTAAATTGTCTTTAAATGGGCCAGGCATAGCTCTTATAGAATCTTATGTATTGCGAACCCCGTGATTACGTCACAACTGTGTCACAACCTAGTCCGTCAAATCGATAGAGTTTCCTAAAATTAACTAGAGGGGACTCTGGCGCTGCGATCGTGCGGCGACCATGGGAATGATGGGTAGTACACACATTTGTCTAGTCTTCGTACTTGCGGGTGGTGAATCGTACTTGCGGCTTGATTTATTGCAGGTTACGGTTTCGTTTTAAAGAAAAGAACAAACCCTTTTGAACTTCGTGACCTGATTTGAGAAGGTAAGCTTTGAAAAAATAAGGTGGTGAAGCACAACCACTGAACATTTGCTGATTTTTCGTTTTGTGAGAAAACAGCTCTAAGCCACCCGAACACACATGGAGCCAGAAGCAGGCCAGAAGTACGAAGATTAGACAAATGTGTGTACTACCCATCATTTCCATGCTCACTGAAGCGCCGTGTCGCAGCTCCCGTAGGCACTAGCGCCAGAGTTCCCTCTAGTGTGTGTTAGGAAACTCTATGGCCAAACCCGCCTGGGCACCGCCATTTTAATTTGACGTTTGCCAGTCTTGGCCTGGCTTGGCTATGAAACAGGCTGCAAGAAGCTGCCAGCGAGTTTTAGAGGCTGCCTTTAGATGGCCATGTGTGAAAAGTGCTATCACCATCATCACTTACAACGGAAGTTTCACTGTGGAATGCCAAAGGGGTGTGACAGTCCCACGACCACACACCGCTCATTGCGAGTTGCGACTCGTCTTCAGTCCCTGTTGTGTGTGCTAAGCCTGTTGCCGTTGAAATTGTCAATGCAATATTTGTCAAGCCTTAATGTTTCCCTTGAGGAAAATCTGGACGTACTTAAAGCATCGACAAGCAACCAGCGCGAAAAAGGGTCAATGTTTCCAAAGACCTTGGACTGCCACCGTCAACGCTCAACAGCATCGTCTCAAAGCGTGTCGAGATTGAAGGGAGTGCCTCTCTCATCGACCCGAAAGCCAAGCATGCAAGCTCGTGGCGCCAAGCACGGAAAACTCAACGAGGCTCTTCTCACCTGGTTCAAGCAATCTCGCGCTGCCGATATCAACTTCGGCGGCAGCATTTTTACGGGAAAAGGCGATGCAAATAGTCAACAGGCTGGACATCACTGATTTTGCAGCGTCAAATGGCTGCATCGACCGTTTCAGCGAGAGGCACGGCATTGCTTACAAAACGGCTACAGTGCCAGACAATCGCAGAGATTGTTGCAAACTCGATCTCAACTGAAGACGGGGACATCGATGATGAATATGAGCCACAGGATTCTGAAGAGTTGGCAGCGGAGTCGGCCGATCTCAACTTTGGAGCAGCCGTCGCAACCCTGGACTACCTTCACAGGTACACCGCACACCAAAGTGACACTTAGTTTAACGCAGCCTTCCAGATTATTGAGAAATGCGGGATGCTTACCGGCAAGCGAAAGAAGCGGGAGTCAACTATCTTCGAATATTTTAATTGTTAGGCTCAACTCTCCAAAAGAAATCAATTGTTTGTAGTCAAAGCGCCTGTGCTCTCATTCATTTTTGAAGCTTTCCTCACTTTTGCCTTTTCTCAGCTGTTACGTTTTTCCTACCCAGTTCGATGAAAAACGTATGAACGCAGTTCCACTGTACTGCCATATTGCTTAATCACAAAGACAGGCAATATCACTTGTTGGTCATATATTATGTGGGAAAACGTATTGCTTCTTTCTTTCTTTTAGTTCGTTCTTGTTCTCATATATGAAATCACAAACTGTGCAGCATGTAATTATCTTTTGATTATCTATGCCTATTGGTGCTGCGTCCCTACCTTCCTCTTTCTAGCACTGTGCAATTTATGTGCTGCTTATGAAAGGAAGGCCGAAAGAAAAAAAAACAGCAGACACAGCCTCATGTGACAATCTCATGTTGCACTATGGCGGTCATAGTTATGAACTGAGGTGATAAAATTTTCTCCTTTTGCTTCTGATAAAACTCTGCATTTTTCACATCACTTGTCAAGTGTCTCCTGATTTGGTTGGTTAACTTCGTCGTGTAACAGTGTGGCATAAGCTAAATTTGTACAAGCCACAGTTGGGTACAACTTCAGATAAAACCAGCATTTTCAACTCAAAGGCAGACTGCACCCACGCCTGCACCAATGAGTGCGTGCTTCAGGCGGACATCACAAGGCCGAACAATCGGGGAACATTGCCAGGTAAATGAGCGAAACTGTGTCTTTATTAAGAATGCAATCGGCTGCCACACTTCAGAAATCTCTGTGGGGCCTCTCCTGTCACATCACAATGCACAAGACTGCAGTATTGCAAGCCCAATGAAAACCAGCAGATAGTGAAGCCAAGGAAGGTATAGCGGTAGTTAATTGTACTGTTTTATTAAGTGTATATGTAGTAGTAGTTAGGATATAAGCGTGCAGAAAGTAATGTGTACGAAAGGACAACTTGCTGCTGGCAGGTTCGGCCTTGCCAGCAGCAAGTTTTCGTTTTGTCCGTTTTTTTTTTTACTTTCTGTACACCTCTATCCCGATTACTACTACATATACGCTTAATAAAACAGTACAATTAACTACCCCTGTATTTCCTTGGCATCACTATCTGCTGGTTTTCATTGTCAAACAAAGAAATAGGCCCTTAAAAGATCCCCTTCCTTTTTTCATAGCATTGTAAGATTTTCCTACTTTCATGCGACATTTCGGAAAGTTTCTTCTGAACCTACTTTGACTGCTGTGGCAACGGGGGTGAGGTTGCTGTGGTTTTCGTCTGCAAGAACACGTTCAGGATGACCCTGGCAGAGCCACTGGAAGCACCGCAGGTGGTTGCGTGCTGCACAGACGTGCCATAACGTGTTGCCTTGGCTGTCGGAGAGGTTCCAGACCAGTTGCTTTTCCATGTCACGTAGGCTGTGGCTCTGAAAGTCGGCACAACACGTTCAACGACCTTAGACACTGATAGCCCAAGAACTTTCAGTTGACAAAAAATCAACTTGAACAGGTACGTGAATGGCCATCAAGAGGACCCTGAAATGTTTTGTTTTTTTTTTAAAGTTTTGTCAACCTTTAGGCTAAAGCATCATCAAATCATTCAGCACCACAAATTTAGTGACACACTATGTACCAAGGCCGCTATGGACAATTACATTATACCCTCTTTGTCACGTCTGCCTGGCCTCCTCAACTCATGAGGCATGCTGGCAGCCCTGGCGATCGCAGAGCTGTCATGAGCATGCTCGTCGATTTGAACTGTCTAGACCTGCTGAGATCGGATGGCAACAGGTTGTGCGCAGTCTCAGAGGCCATCACACAGTGTGCCCGATAGCCCAAAGACTGAAGATCGCCGAAGCGGTTCATATCTGCTCCTACAGGTGCTGCCCCTCTACCAGTCAATCTCTCCACATTCCACAGCCAATCGAATGAGCAGCCATGATGACATCAAGTGGCCTAAAAATGTCGCTCTGTGAATGGGCGGTTGAAAACGTGTGTGGCCAAGTCACAGCAATCTGTACAGTTCTGAAGTGATCTGCAGCTTTAAAGCATTGTAATAAATTGCACAGTTTGCGCAGAGAGCTCAAATCAGTATCTAAATGTCGCTAAGGACTTAGTCTACCTGCCCAATGCGTTTGTGCAAAATTGCCAATACCGTTCCAGGATGCAATTAACGATCATCGCTCTAATGCTGCTGCCCACGCATTTTCCAAATTCAGGAACTGCCAAAATAAAAATGACTAATAGTGACTTTGCAAGCTTACTGGTATCTCATAGAAAAAATAATTGTGTATGATCCACGTGTCCCGCCCCCACTACTTTGAGTGGCCAAAACTTGAAGAACAACAAGGAAACTGGAGAAGTAGCAGGAGGACTAGGCAGCTAGTAAATAGGAATGCACAGAGAAACAGAGGGATGGTATTTCGGAAGAGTCACAATCTAGGTCTATTTGTGTTGCATGCTCGGTAAAGCAAAGCGCATTTCATGAGACAGAAAGGAGAGGCAGTGTTTGTACCGTCTGTATCACCTATCAGTCACAATTATCGCACTACACTTTACCACCACGGTTGGTAGTGTTTATTAACAGGCTGATACGTTGGTAACTCATATTTCAGATGGAGGATGACAAGTCATATTGTTAATGTTGCCAGTGTAACAGGCAACTGTTACTTTTCGTGCATTCAGTATTGTCAGGCTCGGCTACTTTGCACCAATTTGGCTACAATTTAGGCCGGTAGTGGCTGTGTGGGTTCGTTCTTCACATGAAAGGTGTTTTTCTTGAATATGCACCAGTTATGTACTCAAATTTATATATATATATATATATATATATATATATATATATATATATATATATATATATATATATATATATATATATATATATAGTGGGAGTAATAATTCAATGGGCCAGTTAGTCTTCGTGAAAGTATGGGATATGGCACAACAGGAGCGTTGTCAACAAGGATAAATATATTTATTTCCCAACAGTTTCGGGAGGGGTCCTCCCTCCCGAAACTCATCCCCTGATGAAGGGAGGACCCCTCCCGAAACTGTTGCGAAATAAATATATTTATCCTTGTTGACAACGCTCCTGTTGTGCCATATCCCATACCTTAACTATATATATATATATATATATATATATATATATATATATATATATATATATATATATATATCCTTTTAAAAGCCTGTTGATGTCCATGTTGGCTGTCCTGAACGGACGTTGAGCGAACGTACAAATTTGTTACCTTTGTACATGTAATGTACGTCCATTGGTCCTACAGTGTACATTCGTGGACATTTTATGAATGTCCCAAATATCCTAACTGTACGCCCCGTCATATGCCTACCGGATATCCATGGTTACTTGGGTTACTTTTGTACTGAACCAGCCTGTAATGACCTGTATTTTTCTTAGTACTAAAGAAAAACGAGTTTCATTCAATGATTCACAATTACTACTATGATGTACAATTTTGCAAAATTTGAAAAGTAGTCACCAGTCACTAGACTTGGAAGACAGACGTGGTCAGTGTTTCTTGCTCAACAGTTTGTTATCGTTCTTGATTTCACCATTTGCTAATGACTTGCAGGTGAGTAAACTTTTACTAAATAAAGGTAATAACAGTGAATTCAAGGGGAACTCAGGCGTTTTTTCGATATTCAACGATTTCAATAAAACTTTGAACATGTGTTCGCGTTGGTACTGTAGTGATATGTGCCAAATTATACAACTATAAGTCATTTAGATTTTTAGAAAACAAATTTTAAAACTTGTAGCTGATTCTGGAATCAGAATTGCAAACACAGGCCACCCTGTGTATATGACGTCAGAGCCTACTCTTTTTTTTTTTTTTTTTTCAAAGACCTGACATTTCCTAGCAGACGGATGCAGTGCATGCTTTCTTCTACGAGGTGATGGCAATGCGAGCACAGATCAATTTTGTCAGCTCTATACAGCATAATAGTAGTTGTTGACGTCGAGTCTTACAATACTGAGCAAAGAGGAAATCGATTCGGGTCATGACAGATGCTTCAGGCGACGGAGGGTCTAAATAAAAAAAATGATGCTTCCGCGCTCAGATAGTCGCTGCAATCATTGCTGAACTTGTCACTGGTAAGTTCAGACCAGCGGCACAGCTTGATTCCGTGTCGGATGACATCACCAACTTGCTTTTCGCGCATCAGAAGATTGAGGCACGTGAGCTATGTTTACACCCTGGCCAGCCGTGGCAGGGTGTGGCGGATCTCGTGACGTCATCGGTAACGGATTCTTGTGACGTCATCGCATACCCACCATGGACGAAAGAGCTGCTCCTATTTCTGTTCCTGTCTTGACTCATCGTTTTTGCCTAATTAAAATTATTGACGAGAGCCTGGGCAAAATGAATCACCCTATCTTTTGCGGCACTTTCAATTGGAGAACAGCATTACCTCAGTATGGTTGAAAATGCACCGGAGTTCTCTTTTAAGTTTGTCTAAGGAGGTTCTGATCTAGAGATGCTGTAGTTGCACACCTAGATCTACATTTTTGGGAAAGGCTTGCTTAACGCCAGCCAATAATATGAGCCTCGCAATAGATACGTTGTCATCCCCATGATGCATGATGTGCCTTAGAAAACTCACATGAATGCTGGCACCACATTTCCTTCTATTTATTGTGAGAAACATGGTGATGGTCCTGTCTATGCTGCCTACATTAAAGCCTGAACCGCACGTACGCATTGTGTACTCTGCACGCGAGAGCGCGGTACGCACGCGGGGGGGGCCGCGCATGCACAGTTGTCCTAAGTGCGCCTAAACGCTCTGCGTACGCGAGAGTTTGTGGAGATCTGATTTGGGCCTTGAGACGGAATGCATCTAGCCGCGCTGGCCGCACTTGAACAACACCACCTTGGAGCCCTGCAGATACGAAAGGACACTGTGGCTGTACTCAGACATCGGCCTAGCCAGCATGTAGGAACCAATTTAGATTACCTTTTTTTTTTCTTTCCGTGCATATTTTACATCTCTACATTCAGGACAAGTACACTTACAGGCATATGTATTCCTTTACGAGCTCTATTCATACATGTTTGCCACAATATATGACTGCATGAGACCGCTTAGCTCTTCTTTGTACGATGCGTCGTGCACATCGTAGCGATGAACACCATGCACTCTAGTGTGTTTTCGTGATCGTCTGGCTATGCTTTGTAGTGCTGAATAGTTAACTAGCAGCACTCGTTGGGCTCGATCACGTCGCGGCGGATTTTGCGTAGCTGCCAGCGGTGCACTACGCATTGTACGCATAGCTGCGATGAGCAGTGCACTCATGTATGCACTCATGTTTACCTGATGTTTACCTGATGTTTACTCATGTTTACCTCGTGTTTGTGTGAGTGCGTGTACGCACTCAGGCAGTGCTAAGTGGTGCGGTATGCCTCTGTCCGGCACCACCTGGACTTGCCGAGCGTGGTCAAGTTCATATAAATCACTTCGAAGCTCAGCTGAGTACGTGGCGTCACCCGCCTATTTCCGCCTGTTTGGGGTAAGCGCGCGCCTGCGCGGATAGTACGTGTGGGTGGAAATCGCCATTCCTCGCGAGTCGCACCCGGGGTGCACGCGCTGACGCGCTCAGGCAACGTACGTGTGGTTCGGGCTTAAGTGGGTAGTAATGAATGTACGGATCCACTAGCCGGGCGATGCACGCACCAGGGCGTCGAGGTCGCCCTTCTTGGCGACCCTGAAGATGGCGCGTATCCAGTGCGGGACCCTGGCCAGCGGCGGCCGCTGCGCCGGGCGCCGGGGCTGCTGGCTGCGCAGGGAGAGCACCGAGCACGCGTCGCCGCCGCTCTTGAGCTCGCTGTCGGACGCATACTGGCGCGACCAGTCGCGCGGCACGGCCTGCGCAGGGCGTCGAGGGGGCCTCCGCGACGAGGAGGCCGGCAGCCAGGGCTCGGCGGCCGCCACGTCTTCTCGGTGGTCCTGGGCGCCCCGGGCCAGCGCGCTCAACGTGTCGATGATGGACACGGTGCGCAGGTGCGGCGGCCGCCGACCCGCCGAGGCACCCCCGCCCGGGGCGGCAGAGCGGCGCGGCCGATGCGGGCCGGGAGGCTCGCACAGGCGCAGCAGGTCGCTGTCGTCGAGCACGAACTCCTCGAAGGCGTCCGGCGGCGGCCGCATGGTTCGCCCCGAGCTCAGCGCGCGCTCCCAGCCGGGCACCGGCGGGGCTGCGCCGCGGGTCGGAGTGCTGGTGCTGGGGCACAGCCGGGCCTTGGACGCCACGGCTCGGGGCTGGGCCAGTGGCTGCGAAGGGTTCGTCACCAGGCGCACATTTTGAGTGAACTCTTTTTACACGTCTTTTATTGTTTTTTTTTGTGCTGCACTATACGAAGCCAAATCGGCAGCAGCGCACTCGAACGATGGTTCAGATGTCATTGAACGAAAAGTAAGGTCAGCCGATCAGAACGTGATTTTCCCGAGACACCACGCCATTGTTAAGTAGTATCAATTAACACCGACATTAAGTCAGCCTTCGTTGAAATAAAAGAACCAAACCGTACTTTTCGACTCTGAGCATTGCGGTCTACACGAGATCAGAAAAGCAAGTACGGCTGTACACAACAGGACACCAAAACGTGCGCACAAACAATATTTATGGGACAACACCAAATGGAAGCAGTGAGAAGATGCCCCGAAGGTGCTTGTTCACGAACAGATCTGAATATTATGGTGGTGGTGGTGGTGGTTAGAAGATGAGAAAAGGCATCTAATTTCTGCAACCCGGTCGGGAGCACGGCGCAGTGCCTAAATATTATGCACGAAGAAAGGTAGTCTTAGAGGTGAAAAGAAAAACCAATGTTTCCATCTCCTCAAATAGCGCGCGCGCACCATTTCCCGATGCGCTGCTACGACGTCACGGTTATCGCGGTGTCTTTTGCGAGTACGAGCCCCGTTTATATCCGGGAGAACTTCACGAAACACACACACGAAACTTGGTCAGATCGTTTAATTAGGATGCAACCCGATTAAAGCATTCACCAAGCTAGCCATAAATTTCCCCTACAGTAGCTCGATCATATCTCGATAATTCAAAACGGGAGTTTCAAGCACATCCGTATTGCGCAGTGACCCGCTGCTCTTCGCACTTTCGACAGCCTCACTTTCATTGGGGACATTTTAGGGGCACAATGACGACCCTCGTTAGAGGAAACCCGAATGCGATTTGAGAGGTTTTTAAAGAGGCAACTCTGCGGGGTGCAGCAGCTAACCGTGCTGCTGCACGGTTAGCTGCTGTTTTGTTGTCAAGTTTTGTTGTCACCCCGTTACACTAAGTTCAGCACAAACCGCGCCTACGATGTTCGAGAGGCTTCGAGGCTGTAGTGGATCGTTCAGTTAAGATTGCGCCCACTTCGTGAACAATACAGATTATTCGAGAACCTACGTCGCCGCTAGCGATAACGCTAGAATATTCGATGGCAAGGGTATAAATTCCGACACGCTCCGCCGCTCGTCAGTTGATCGACGGCCGACGCTCTGCTCGCCGCTACCAGTTTCAATTTATTGAGCGTAATAGGGTGGGTGAGCGTAATAGTGCCAGTGTCTCGTTGTAATCTTACTTTTCTTTTACGTGGCCCCAAGTTCAATCCGAATATATAGCTGATCATTCGACCCGCAGTTATCTCTTTTCTTCATCCACGTCACGTCCCCGTGACAATATTATGTACAACAATAAACAACTAACAATACCAATGAAAACTCTGTCCGCCGGAGGGATGACTTGGGTCAGTGGTGGAGCATGTTCGCAGGTCCCGTCCCTGTCGACGGCAAGCCATCTTTTCGTCCACTTTTCTTTTCTTCACACTTACATTTACAATTATTATACTTCTAATAACATCCCCTATACTTTTCTTGCCAGCATTGTCAGTTAGCTCTCATTAATAGGGCAACTATCATTTCGTTAAGGCGGCCTACGAGCCACGGGTTGTGGTATATGCGCCGTCGTGTATACCTGTTTGGCAGTGCTCGATGTCGTTTTCGTGCGGCCACTGGTGCCGGCAGTCGGGCAGATCCTGCGGCACGACTCATGGTCAGGAACGGCGCGACGGTTCCGCCTCGTGGACAGCACACCGTGCAGGTTCGATGCTGCGGACAAGGAAAGCAAAATTTCCATGTCAACGAAAAGGTTGACTGATTCATTGGCAGATCGATTGATTCATCGAAAACATTGGCAACTAGCACAGCAATAATAATTGTTGAGCTTTTACGTCCCGAAATCAAGATACGATTAGGTAGAGGTCCGGAAATTTCGGGATTATTTGGTGTGCACGTCAATCCAAGTACAGGAGCCTCTATCATTTCGCCTCCATCTAAATGCCGTCGCCGCGATCGGTATGCGATCCCGCGACCTCTGGAGTCAGCACTTCAGCACCGCACATAGGTCATCGTGCCGACCAAGTGAACAAGCGCAGCAATCTGTTGGCTCCAACACATGGTTATAATTGTTGCATGAACGAAAGGTGTCGATAGGTAGAGGCATGTCTTGAAGCTTTTCTCTGTCCAACGGGGGACGGTCACTTAAAGGGACACTATCGTCAAATAGCAATTTACGTCAGAGTGAAAGCTCAATGTATGACAGCATCTAAAACGACAATATTATCAACAACAGTGCCCTACTTACCGAGAAATAAACGTAAATGCACAAGAACGCAAGCGCCGCATGCAGTAGGGCATTCTCAAAATCATCCCGATGACATCAGACGGACCGCCTACAACTAATCACTAGTAATCGATCTAGCTTCACTAAATAAAAAACATTCTGTGCATCAAGAGACGCAATAAAACGCTTTTTGTTCATTTTTGTTTGACTCATGAAAAAAATAGAACCACCGGGGAATGGCACGAATGGTTCGAAAATTCAATTTTCGCGTAGTCACAATGGACAGGTGGTGTCATCTAGCAGGGTGCAGTTGAACCAAAAAACGTCTGCGATCTCGGAGCCGATGGCGGGAAATTGATCAATGGCCGTTGTTGCTGCTGTGGCTCCCACTGCTTTCGGTCTGCTGCTGCTAGCACAGTGAAGTTGGGCGACGTTGTGCACGGCAACAGTGACGCGAGTCGGTCCGGTCAGACCACTTCTTGAGGCGGGTAATTTGAAGTGCGCTAACGCGATGCGGGGCACTACAGCGTAATTTTATTTCAAAATTATGCCCTTCCTTGGCACAAAGGTAACACTACGGGGTTTATGGACCGCTATTTCAACAATCAACGTCGACTTAATAGTTGTCTTTAGTGTTCCTTTAATTGCCCCACCACGGCGGTCTAGTGGCCAAAGTACTCTGCTGCTGACCCGCAGGTCGCGGGATCTAATCCCGGCTGAGGCTGCTGCATTTCCAATGGAGGCGGAAATCATGCAGGCCCACACGTTCAGATTTGGGTGCACGTTAAAGAACCCCAGGTGGTCGTAATTTCCGGAGCCCTCCACTGCGGTGTCTCTCATAATTATATGGTGGTTTTGGAACGTTAAACCTCGCATATCAAATGTCCCTTTAATTGCGATTGAAAAAAAAAAGAACACCTCACACACTCTACGCACTTCACAAACAAGTTTACTGGAAACAATAAATGAAGTAAAGAAGTCATGTATCACACACGGCCTTGCAAAACCTCCTGTGGGTGCTTTTCACGTCACCGTCTGAAATGAAACGCAAACGGTCGACGTATAGCGCCGATGAAGCCGGGTGCGTTATCAGCCGAGCAAGACTGATCGATTACATAGCGAGCTAAGCCACATACATTATATCCGTCTCGTCGGCCTTCGCGAAAGGTTCGCCCAGGTTTTACATCACTTCTCGATCGTCCAGAGACGGCGACATTGTGTGCGCTGGAGAGGCCACATTGCGGAGTTCCAAGTTTACAGCCGCTGACCGACGGCGATAGCCCGTGACAGAAACGCTCAATTACAACACACACACGCACACATATATATACATTTTGATCTCCCGAAAGAAACAATCTACTCGCGTATGTTTGTATATTCGCGCGGTTGCGTGGCGTCTCGACTGGCGCCACCTGAAGCGGAAGTTCTGTAAAGACGCTGAGCTAACTCGTTATAAAGGCATTGTGAGCGGACCATATACGTTTAATAGGAATCCATAATTCTGCTTACCTCGATCAACAAGAAAAAAAAAGGACGATCGAGTGTTTTGCGAGTATAATTTGACAGCGGTGCGCAACAGGACGGGCATGCTTGTCTGCATCGTTCTTCTTCGTACTGCACCGTTTTCTAATTAGTATTACTGTCACGTGTGTTATTTCGATGTACTCATATTTCGACCGCAAAAACTTTTTGCGACGCTCGGGGCAACCCACGCCGAAACGTTCCCGAAGCTCACAAGTAGCAATGTTCGCCTAATATTGCGCACAGCACACGAACAGCCACCAGCAGCGATAACGATGGAATCTTCGACGGCACACGCATAGAAAGCCAACGTGCAGAACCGCTGGGCACATTAGAGAGTTATAGTTTAACGTTAGCGTGATAGCGGAGGTTAAGGGAATGGCGTTAGCGTGCAACAAACGTTCATTGTGCGCAGCGTCTTATAGTTTGGCGGGATAGCGTTTACGTGCCCCAGCTGGAATGGTGGCGCCACCTATTAGGTGGTTAATAAGTTAAACAGTTAAAATGAAAAGAAAACGAGATTGTTTGCCTATGTCACCGCGCGAACCATTGTTAGAAGTTTATTTTAGTGATAGTAAAAGTAAATAACACATGAACCACGCACCAAACGCGAAAGCATCTACGTTGCTGATTTGTTTACATCGATCTTGTAGTTAGGCCTGGACGCGTTCGAAATGGGAAGCTATCTCAAAAACTACGGCAATTTATCCGTAATACTCGGTCATAGAAGCTAACTGAAGGAAAGCGAAGCCACTTTGAACAGTCGTTTGCTGCGAACAAGGGAAATATTTCAACAACTACGTCAAAATCACTTCGAAGCGGGCGTCTGAGAGCGCCGCCATATTTACGTACACCTACGCTACCACGGTAACGTGAAATCTGAAAAATACCGCGCGTACGGGAAGCGGTACGGGTGACGTACGTATCTGCGCATGCGCACTGCGATTCTGGTATCACGGTACACCCGGTAACCCGCTAAGCCTGGTATACTATAACTCTCTATTATCGACGGCCGACACTCTGCTCGCCAATATCATTGTATACAGAGCGCATTGCTGTAGTTTGAGCATGAATTTCCCCGCGAACACTGCAGGTTCGCCCAAATAAACAATGTGGCCTTGAACACGCTTATAGCATACAGAAATCTACTATATAACTGGCGCCTTTTCGCGGCCCAGCAAGAAATGGTCTGACCAAACGCTAGATGGCGTGCTCATGCTCGCTTTTACTCCTTTGTTAAGGCATGTAATAGCTTCTTGAGGAGGACAATGAATACCTAAGTTTGACGTAAATTTTCTGTAAAGAAAAATTTTATTAACTTTCGCAACTTTCCATACCGCTCTACATCATGCTTCGCTTAGGGCATTTAATGCCTTACAACAGAATGCATGACTAGAAAGTGTTGTCTTTCTGCATTTTTTTTTGCACAAGAGGGGCACATTCATGTAGTTTAGACGTACTTTAGGTGTATTCCCTTTGTCAACACATGGGCGTGTAGCCTAGTGGTAAAGACACTCGCCTTCGAAGCATGAGGGTACGGGTTCAAATCCAAGCGCCAGAAAGGGAAAAAAATTATTTTATTTATGCTGAAGACATTACCGGGTCTGACCAATCACTCGTGGCGCTGAAGCAGCGCAGTAGCTGGGCCGCAGGGCTCTACGGTAGTGTCCGCTCTTTACGTAAGTATGTTTCTCTATGCCTATATGCAGCCGCCGTCGCCAACTTGACAATACGTGCACGAACCGAAGCACATGCAGACGCCTGTAGAACGAATAGCTCGGAGCTTTCAGCTACTTCGTAGCAAAGATGGTGCATGCAACTTACGGCTCGAAACGCAACCTGGATGAGGAATCATGCGTATATAGTACAAGCAGTTTCGTTGTACCGGGTGCCTCAATGAACATATAACCCAGACAAGGGTTCTCCGTGAATGAACTGCGCTAAGTCTTCATTCATATACACGCCTTTCACGTGACGTCACGCCGCAGCGGCGTGCGCTGCGGCGGCCATGCTGGTGCAGTATACGTGCGGAACCGTCGGGGTGCGTAGACCAGTCCAAGCTTGCTTCCTCGATATTTCAGGCGATTGTGGTGCTTTACATGCGCGATGCCTACTCGTTTCAGTAAACAGCCGTTAGACAGACTTATTCTTCGGATCTTACGCCTTCGCTATGCTGAAAAAAATTGGAAATGCGCGATAGCATCGACCCCTTCAGGCTGCGACCGGGAACGGACGCTTCAAAGCGACGAGAACATATTTCCGGGCATTTCTTTCGGAGACATCGCCAATTATCTCGTTTTTCCGCTAATCATTTGACCCCCGAGGAAATGAAGGCGCGTTCAAGTCGACCGAGGCGCATATTTATTAACTTATCATACAAGCCATCGGGTCAAGAGGCTAAACAGTTTCAAGATGACAAGGTGCTTCTGCTTTACGAAGTAAGTTGCAGCTTGTGTTTTTCTATCTTATTTTTCAGAGTGAAATAACGTTTATTCAATGCACAAGTAACTTGATGTGACAATCCATTCTGCTATTTCCTATCACTCGATCCCAAGGTGCCATCACGCGCCTCTTTTTGTTTTTAGGTCTCGTATGTGACAGGGGCTGTTGGTTTGTTTAGTTTGAAAGCTTGGCAATAAATTGCCGAAGATAAATTGCCGAAGAGAAACTGCGCGAAGAAAAATACGGAAACGCGTGAAACAGGTTCACACTACTTGCCGCGTACACTTGCCAACGAAAAATTTAGTAGGGTGACTTGTCGGGCAAGCTGCTTCATTCTTACGGCAGCTTTAGCGCCGATCTTTATTTCACGCTAAAAGCTACCGTAAGACAAATTTAGGTCCCATGCACTTGCCGGCTCGACAAATGAAGGCCTGCTTTAAGTGATCAAGCTTGTCGCAGTTGCTCGTTTCGACGACAGTTTCGATGGTCTGCCTACAGACATAATTGTCCCGTTGTGGTTGTA